GCAATGTATCGTTAATTCTATAAATAAAAAAAGATTTTAGAATAAGGCTGTTTTAATAAATCTCTGTGGGTACAATGTCGTTCTTACATGTCTGCTTCAATAGATTCATTTGCTTATGAGTTCAATTTGATTTAGATTAATGTATTATTTAGGTTTGTTTAAATTCATATCACCACTATTAAAAAAGCACAAGCCAGAAAACACAGTATATGCCCTGGGCAACCCTTCTAACCCTGAAAATATCATTGTCTATGATATCCCCCATCAAACAGATAATTGTGAACAAGATAACAGTAATACAGTACCCCCACATGATTCAAGAATGAGGTCAAAGGGATTAAAGATGACTAAACTGTAGAGCCATTGAACTAACCCAACCAAGAAGCATACCTATAATATATACCCAGAAATCCAAACAAAACGCAAAGGACCACAATCATTAAATACAAATGTATGACTACAATATCAAGGAAACTCCCTTTTACAATAGTGTCACGCACTTGAAATAGCGAAATCCTATACCATGACCCTTACTGTTTTAGTGAATTATCTAGGTGAAATGACATACGATTGCCTTATAACTAGGAAAGCATTTAGTAATCGAAGAATTTTGTTTGTGAGAAGAAACAAGAGCCATTCACCTTGGTGAATGCTTATTATACACTATGCAACTGTAGAGAGTTACCAGGAAGTGGAGTGCCTTCTCTATAATTCCAAAAGTACTCACAATGCATTAAAAATTTACTACTAATGAAACATTTTACTTAACTTAAAACATGTCCAAAAATTGACTGACGTTGACAGGACTATGATAAATGAAACAGATACAAAAAACAAGAGCTTTACAAATCATTGGGTTAAAAGCAAGAGCTGAAGATGTCAAGCATGTTCCAATAACTAACCGTACGCCCATATCATGTAACAATTTTGCAGCAGAACGCATGTCAGAAACTGTTTTTATTTTCACGCCATCAAGTAAAGCAGACGCCTCTTTTAAATTTGGAGTTATGATGTCGGCCATAGGAAGAAGGTCCTCTCTGCAAGCAGGAACCCAAAAATAAAAATTATTAAAAAGTACACCGTTCCATAAGGGACTTTCTCTCTAGTTTAAGGAAAAAGAATCCAGTGACAGCAGCAAATTGGCCAAGAAATAAAAACATGGCAAAACGGTGAAGGAGCAGTTTAAGCACATAAGAACTATGCAAATATTTATGCTTATTAACACTGCACAGGTGAAGGAAATAAATTTCCAACAGACTGGTAGACAACTGAATAGGATATTATACTGAATGCTTGTTCAGATGAGTTAATGTTAATAATAGAGCCGTTATCGCAGAGTCTCATAAAAAAGCTGCTGTTGTGACCATAACTGAACAAACTATCAAATTGCTGTGGGTAGCAGCTACATACGAAAAACAAAATTGCAGAATAGTTTTATTTTTTCAAATGTCCATATGTAAAATTTTATCTTTCCCCTAATCATTTGATATATTATTTATTTAGTTAGAGTTCAGCGAAATAAAAAAATATTTTTTGCATTTACTATTTAATATATTAAATGCATGTTTTTTAGTAATTGAATATCTGGATTCTACATTTTCATTGTGTTTGTGAACTAATCATAATAATAACCCAATCAAATTTTATATAGCAAATGAATGTAGACATTGTTTCTAGGAGCAATGAGAAACTAACATTTGTGTAAAACTAAGAAAATGCTTTGTTGATTAAAATTTAAAGAGGAAAAAACTAGTGGTATGCATATGGATTAGCTTGGTTGTTTGATATGTTCTTATATCATGGCAAAGATCCTTTAACTTACTTGTGCAAAGCCATAAAATATTTATGAGCCTAATCTCTTAGTAGAAACAGGATCATATCAATGTTACTTACAAATAAGAAAGACAAAAAATTATCCACAAAAACAAAAAAGACCAAAAGGTTTATGGGTGAAAGAAACCAACTGTATGATGATGGACCACCAAAGCTTAGCTAGCTCAAGTGCTCAACGTGTAATAAACAAAACATACTGTCCATTCAAACTACTTAACATGCTCTCTGCATTTCAGAAAAAGTTGCCCTGTCAAGCTTATGCAAAATATTAGTTGCACAGCCCACCTATACTTTTATTTTTTCTGACAAATAAAAGATGGTTACAACCTAGTACTCTGCCAAATAGGCCCCATGAGGTTTGCATAAAGCAAGAACAACCACATGACAGGACTATGAATTTACACAATGTTATGCACAAAAGACTGTCATACCTGAACCCAGCAAGAACAGAAGGACCAGCCAATACATCTCCACTTGTAGACACCATAACAGGATCAACCACTAAAGCTGCCTTCAATGATTACACCAATTCATTTAAAATGCTAATTAAGCAACAATAGAAAAAGACATGTTCAATTTTTAATACGACAACATACCTCGAACAGGATACTCCCTAAGATGTTGATGAAGAATCTTGACTATACCAATCGAAGGTAACATACCAGTTTTCACCTAGGGATGGCATATCAGGAGCATGTCAAAACCATTTTAGTAGCAATACAATTTCTTGATATAAACAAGTTTGCAAAAGAGCCATGCCTCAAGTACAGAGCTAGTGAAAGCTCAAAAAAGTTTAATAGAGCTTTCAAAAGAACATTTTAATTAAATTTGCCAAATACAGACAATTAGTCTTCCTACAACATCGGCAATCCATTAAGTAAAAGTAATGTAAGAAACCGCAATTTCATTCGCAAAAAGTTCTAATCAATTCACCCAAAACATATTGATGCTATGACTATGACCAAACCTTCAAATGTTATTCGACAAAGAAAATATCAACAACATTTGATGAAATATATTGCACTCATTAACACAAAACTCCAAAATTAACAACATATGCTTCTTTCCATCAAACATGTAGTTATTTGCTTCCATTAAAATTAAGCTTAGCTTTTCCCACCAGAATTAAAATGCTTTTTAATCTAATTTCATATTTTGGATGTCTCCATACTACATAAACAAGCACAGACACATCCACATACATCTTTGTTATCAGGCCACTTCTCTTTCATACCAAAACAAGTGAATAGAGAAAGATGACATGGAAGCTCAAACCCCTATGCTTTACGTGAATCTTTTGACAAGTAAATATGCATTGAGTTACAAGTACAAAATGTATGTCAAATCAACTCTGAAAACAAAGAAGTAATAAGTTCCGTTTATAAGGTTCTATTAGCTACCTCTGACATATAGATTTTTCACTAACTATATAACTAATCTACAACCTATTATTATTAATCATTTAATTAAAATTAAGATACACCTGGGGCCTCTTATTTTAAAAGTTGAAATGGTTCATGTTTTCAATTGCTTATAGATGGTACTTCTGTGATGCCAAAGAATTTTGGACAAGAATCACAAAAGCAGACCATCTTGTAAAATTAGTTGAAGGTGGAAATTAAAGCAGTCCCCAACTTTGACTTACCACATCAACATGCATATCAGATAGCACAGACTTCATCTGCTCTGCAACAAAATCCTCAGGCACAACGTTTACACCCTAGCAAATAAAGAGAACAAAGGAAAATTAACAAACGTCAGTGGAATTGTTATATTTTCTATCTTCTTCTATGCTTCAGAAACCAAAATGGAGCATAAGTCATGGAAAACAACATGAAATAGCAACCTGAACCCCAACAGTGTTCTGTGCAGTAACAGCAGTTATGACAGTAGAGCAGTACACTCCACGAGCAGCACAAGCCTTAAGGTCTGCTTGGATTCCAGCGCCAGCACCCGAATCAGAGCCAGCAACAGTCAGTACATGTGGAATGTTAATTGTAGACTGATTACTTGTCGTTGGACTTCCATTTCCCTGCATCTCCATGAAAATTCTTGTGTGCTTGTTTCTATTGATTCTCGAATTCACCAACAATAAGCTCAAACCCTTCGATTGCCTGAATCCTTGCGGCACAGACTGGTAATGATTTAACGATAAAGAGATTATGAAGAAGTTAGAGTGCAACTCAGGAATGGAAACCATAGCAGCATCGATAGTCGTATATGTGCGATAAAAGAATCAGAATGTGAATAGATTATTAGCTTTTGTTTGGTTTCTGAGAAAATGAAAGAAAACTGAGAGTGAATGAAATGCTTTCGTACCACACAGAGAGCAATGTTCAAACTAAAACCTTCGCCCCACATTTCTTGCAAGTGATTTTACTTGACTTATTTTAGGTCTTAAATAATTAAAATTTCAAATTGGGTTACAGGATATTCCTTCATTTTCTCAAGCAGCCATGACCGATTTGACTCAACTCAAAATCCTTAATGGGATAAAATTCTTCCAATAAAAAAATAATCCAGGGATAGTTTAAATAAAAATAATTAATTAATAAAACACATCAAATTAAATCAACAAATATATATATATATATAATTACTTTTGAGTCAACATTTGACTTTTAGGTCACTTTCTAACGTTTTCTGGCCAAGAATTTGGAATATAAAAGTATTGAACATAGTAAACGAGCTGAAGAGGAAAGCTTAGCAAAAGCAGCATTTGGGTTTTTGATGGGGAGAAGGATTTTGACATTGATTTCTTCTGATTACATTTTGAATATCACTGGTTTTCTTTTCTCGGCAATCTCACAGTAAAATAGAAAAGTGCGGCGGTGAGAGCTTACCTTGTACAAGGAATGGAAGGAGAGAGAGGCGGAGAGACATTGAGCCTCGTATGCCATAAAATTATGATTTTGTGAATGAATTAGGTTCTCTACGTATGTTTAGACAAGCCTCGGAAATCGTATAGCCGGGTGGCTTATACAATTATTTAAAAAACAATTAAAACAAAATACTAATTTTTAAAATTAAAAAAATCCGGTATAGCCGGCCGGCTATACTATTTTAGGTCACGTGTCAAAATACGTATAGCCGCGCGGCTATCCTTTTTAACCGAGTATTGCCGACCGGCTATACTATTTTATAAAACAAATTAGAAAACCAGGTATGGCCGCGCGGCTATATGATTAAACAAAATTAGGTCCTATGTGTAAAAAGGGTATAGCCGGTCGGCTTTACTATTTATATGTGTTTTTAAAAAAATAGCCTAGCGCTATTGCGCCACGTGTAAACCAGTCTAGCCGCTCGGCTATAAGATTTATTTTAAAAAATTAAAACATAAAATCCTAGTAAGGCCGGACGGCTATACTATTTTTTTTTAAAACAAACGAGGACGCAACAGCAATGAGCGCCCACGTGTGAAAATAAGTATAGCCGGCCGGCTATACGATTTTTATGAAACGTTGTTAAAACCGAATATAGCCATCTGGCTATACAATTTTTAAAATAAAAATAAAAAAGGTTATAGCCGCGCGGCTATACTATGCGCCCAGCTATTTCGTGCCCACAGGTCGAATAGGTGTAGCCGCTACGATTTTTACCTTGTATAGCCGCACGGCTATAAAACCTCCGATCTACTCTCAATCTTATCTTCTCTATGTGTGTCTTGAATCGGCTTGTTTGAAAAAGGGGAAAAAAAACCATAAGTTATGGTATACGTCTTTCTTAACTTTACGGTCTTGTTTGTTTTTTTTAAGGTCAATCTGGTGTTCTTTTGGCAATTGCTGGTTTTTTGGGCGTTTGTGGATTGAAAAAATGTTTACTTGTGAAGCAGAAAGAATCGCTGGGTTATGGATGAGGGAGAGTGAAGCTTGAAAAGTTCATTATATTTTTTATTTTTGTTCCAGGCTGATCTGCAGATGGTGGCATAGACAGACTCACATGTAGAGAGAGAGAGAGAGAGAGAGAGAGAGAGAGAGGAGGAGAAGAGAAGAGAAGAAGGTGCAGAAAGAGGAAGAGGAAGAAGATGTTATGACTTGTGCGAGGATGGGTCTCTGTTTTGTTTGGGATGGGCATGGATGTATGGGTTTTGTTTTACCCGATTCTACGCGAAACTTTATTAAAAGCCGTGTTTTAATCCAGCCGTCCAATTTGATCCAACGGCTAAGATCTGTCCTCAATTAAGGTTCCTCGAGAGAGACTCACTCAAAATATAACTTGAGAATCCAAATGACATGAAAGGCCTATAGGAAACCATAAACTCAGCCCAGCAAAGTCTGCAAGTCCCAGCTTCTGCTCAAGGTTTTAGCAATACTCTGCCTCTCTCGCAGTCGCCAGTTGCCAGCAGCAGAACAAGAAAAGCAAAATAGAAAAGAAGCGAATTCGAAGAAGCAATGGCACTATTGATGGAAAAGGGGTCTGAACCCCAAACCGAAAGTGAAAGAGCTGACCTTGATGCCATAGCCGCTCTCAAAGAAAATACTGCTATTGAACTCAAGGTTTTCTTTCTCTCTCACACAATAAAAGCACTTGATAGGATTATATTGTCTTTGTTTTTTCATATATATTTTTTTTGTTGGGTTTGGCAGGACAAGGGTAACGAGTATGTGAAGATGGGCAAAAAGCACTTCGCTGATGCCATAGATTGCTACACGAGAGCAATAAATCAGCAAGCTTTGAGTGACTCTGACACCTCTATTCTCTTTTCAAATAGGGCCCATGTCAATCTTTTACTTGGTAACTACAGACGTGCTCTTACTGATGCTGAGGACGCAATTAAGCTCTGTTCCACTAATGTCAAGGTGCACAATTTTTTTCCCATGTTATTGTTCTCAGATGGGCTTTGTTTGAATACTTAGTTTTTTTTTTTGTGATTTTAGCAATATGGGTTTTGATAATAGGCTTTGTACCGAGCTGCCAAAGCGTCTTTTGCATTGAACTTGTTGCCTGAATCAACTTTGCATTGCCAAAATGGGATTAAGCATGACCCAAGTAACGAAGAGCTAAAGAAGCTGTTAAGGCAGATTGAGTCAAAGAAGATGGAAAACCAACAGCGTGAGGCTCAAGTTTCCACGGCTATATCAGGGGCTAAGGTTTGATTATATTACTAATGGAATGATACAATTATGAATGAACTGTTTGTGATTGTTCTCAGGCTCATGTTTATTTCTTTGTTGAAACTATGCAGGACCTTGTTTCCGCGATCGAAAGTAGAGGACTGAAAATTGGGAAGGCAATGTATCAAGAACTTACAGGATTAAGAAAGCCTGTATTAGATAAGAATAATATTCTACATTGGCCAGTTCTTCTGCTGTATGCAGAGGTTATGTCCAGTGACTTCATTGAGGATTTCTGTGAGACTGAAATGTTGTCAGCGCATCTGGACATGATATCCTTCTTTTAAAGTGTTATGTTATATTTTAAAGTTGAATTGCCTATGAGTTTTCTATGTAGCATCCAATGCTTTTGGATATATGTGCATTTTGTGGTTTCCTGAACTTTCAAACATGTTTTCAGAAAGCTGCAAGCCTTTGTCATGGGATCAGGAACACAATTACACTCGTGAAGCTGTTGAATTATACTATGAAGTAAGTCGTTTTATTTTGTTGTAATTTGGTTTACATATACTCAATATTAAAAGGAAGTTGCTTTCTGAAGAATCTTCTTAATATTCTGTAGTATTGAACTTCTCTAGCAAAGGAAAATGAGCAAGTTCATCTATATTTTGGATTGCTTGCATCATATTTGACTTCTGAGAGTAATTGGCTAAGTCTCAGGAGTTTGACCAGATCAGCTACATGAAGCGATGATAATTATTGAATCTGTAGAACTGGATGTTGTGGCATGAGCCATAACTGTTGGGTTGACATAAACATATTATCCGATTCTAGGGTGCTGCTATCCACTCTTTTGAGGTTATGTTTCTTGGACTTTAGTTTGCATGCTGCAGGATTGTGATTAGATATTTGGTTCACTTAGTTTCCAATTGTTAGGACATGAGATCACCACTGGCTTGTTGAAATGCCAAACTTTTCCTTTGTATTGCAATGTAGTTAATTGAGGTGAAAGTGTAACTAATAGAACCTACTGGGGATTCCTGTGAATGCCCGTGCATCAAAGAGTAGGAAAAGAGGTGTATGAATGAACTTGTATAAATCTAGTTATCTCCATATCTTCGTGGGTATGTCACAAAGGAATAATTTTCTGTATCTTTAAAGATGAAATTAATTGTGCATTTTCTAATTTCTATGTCCTTGATTTATTAGGCAGGTTCAGGAGTTTCTCTATCAACAACAAAGATTCTTCGTTATCTCTTAGAGGGCACTGAAGCTTCTCATGTGGAAAACATCGGTGTTGAGGAAAATGATGCAAATGAGAATTCTAATGGTGGCAGCTCAGCAGGTAGGGTGAAAAATTGTTCCATTTTTTTTTTAAACTATTCTACTCATTAATTGCAAAGAAACATTATTTGAGTCCCATTTTCCTAGGATTTCGTTTTCTTGACAAGTTTATCTGAACTTTCTTTATCTGATGTTTGTCAGGCAAAGGTTCCTCTAAATGGGTGAAAGTAAATGAGAAAAGAACACTTCATGATGTTCTGAAAGAACCTAACTTTGTTATTCCAGGGATCCCAGGTCTGTCTTTAGCACACAGTTACTATTGTATCAGTTTCATTCCTTTCATTTTTTCTTATGACAATTGTTTGGTTTTTCCTGGACAGTGTTTTTTGTTGTTTCTAAACGTTCCAGCTTCTATAAAGAGTTCAAAGCTGGGAAATGGGCTCCTCCACCTTGAGTTGCTGGTTGGTTGTCTCTTGAAGATAAGCGATGTCTATTACGATACGAGTCAAAGCTAGTGATACCTGGGTATATGACTAGGCGTCGTAGTTTTCGTTCCACAAGAATGCCTGTGGTGAAGGCAAAACCCTGGGATGTCACAAGGTTGTACAATTGAGATAGCTTTCCAAATGTTTGTATTATTATTAGTTGAGCTAGTGCATGTACCAAAAACATGAAGACCCAAATATAGACAAATTTTTTTAAAAAATCAAGTACGTTTCCTGATTGTTTTATCATCTTACGGTTGAGACTTTTCCTTGTCTTTTATTTTACACTTTAATAGCAATTGACCAATCAGGCATGGAATATTCACAGATTGGAGCCAGGTAATGATACATTGCATAATCATTCATGCACAAAAGGAAAGAATTTTACAGCAGGCGCATTAAAATGTCCTTTTTATTTTCTTTGGCCATTTATTAAAATTTGAAACGTTCATTTAGCTTGGTTAAATTTCTCACGTGGTGATATATAGTACAGAATGTAACAGCTTTACAGTTTCTAATCTCCAAAAGAGGAGGAAAATCAGTTACGGAATTACGGACCTAAGCGTATTTGGTGTCCACTGGTCTTCTATTTCACCATGGAATCTATTAGATTCTCCTAATTCTTGGCCATCCACCTCTGGAATTTCTTGGGATCTTTTTGCCACAATAAATAGCCTTCAGATTCTCCACCTCTCCACATTCCCATCTTCCTCTAGTCTCTCCCATGGCTGCTATCTCTTGCTCAGCCTCTGACCTCCAACCCCTTTTGGGTGCAGCTGCCAATGCCACCGCAGCCGCCCAATACATCTGCGGCCGCTTTGATGCTGTTTCGAACAAGTTTGTTGACACAGCCTATGCTGTTGACAACACCTACCTTCTCTTCTCTGCCTACCTTGTTTTCGCGATGCAGCTTGGCTTTGCCATGCTCTGTGCCGGCTCTGTTCGTGCCAAGAACACCATGAACATAATGCTCACCAATGTCCTTGACGCTGCCACAGGCGGCCTCTTCTACTACCTTTTTGGTTTTGCCTTGGCCTTTGGCACCCCCTCCAATGGCTTCATAGGCCAACACTTCTTTGGCCTTAACAAGTTTCCTTCTCAGTCTTTCGATTACAGTTACTTTCTTTATCAATGGGCTTTTGCCATTGCAGCTGCTGGAATCACAAGTGGTTCCATTGCTGAAAGAACCCAATTCGTTGCATACTTGATCTATTCATCTTTCTTGACTGGCTTCGTCTACCCCATTGTTTCTCATTGGTTTTGGTCTGCTGATGGATGGGCAAGCCCTGCTCGTGCTGACAATCTTTTATTTGGTTCTGGGGTCATTGATTTTGCAGGCTCTGGTGTTGTTCACCTGGTTGGAGGCATAGCAGGCTTGTGGGGTGCTCTTATCGAAGGCCCCCGCATAGGCCGGTTCGATCATGAAGGTAGGTCTGTGGGTCTGCGTGGACACAGCGGCACATTGGTTGTTTTGGGCACATTTCTGCTTTGGTTTGGTTGGTATGGCTTCAATGCAGGCTCATTCCTCAATATTCTCAAGGCCTATGGAGAGAGTGGATCCTATTATGGACAATGGAGTGCAATAGGAAGAACTGCAGTGACAACCACAATGGCTGGATGCTCAGCAGCACTGACTACTCTCTTTGGGAAGCGCTTGCTCTCCGGTCATTGGAACCTCACCGACGTGTGCAATGGCCTGCTTGGCGGGTTTGCAGCAATCACCTCTGGTTGCTCAGTTGTTGATCCTTGGGCTGCAATCATTTGTGGGTTTGTGGCAGCTTGGGTTTTGATGGGATGCAATAAGCTTGCTGAGAAGTTGAAGTATGATGATCCATTAGAAGCAGCACAGCTTCATGGAGGGTGTGGCTCATGGGGAATTATATTCACTGCATTGTTCGCCAAAAAGGCTTATGTGGATGAAGTCTATTCAGGGCAACCAAACAGGCCATATGGGCTTTTGATGGGAGGAGGTGGAAAGCTCTTGGCTGCACATTTGGTTCAGATTGTGGTGATTGTAGGGTTTGTGAGCTTGACAATGGGAACATTGTTTTTCTTGCTGCACAAGTTGAAGCTCTTGAGGATTTCATCAGAGGAGGAGATGGCAGGAATGGATGTGACCAGTCATGGTGGATTGGCTTATGTATATAACGAAGAATGCAACAATCAGGCAATGCTCAAACCTGGATTCATGGTCTCAAGGACAGCTCCTCCATCATCAGCTGTTTGATTTGAGTTTTGATGTTCCTGCCCCCATAAAAAGAAAACCTTAACTTTTGAAATTAGAACCCATAATGAGTGAAAATTAAGTTCTAACCCAAATCAAATTATTCAACATGTTGTTGCTTTTAGTATGTAAATACATTAGGCTGGTCAAGCAAGACAACGCTCTGTGTTAAATCATCCATGACCGCATAACACCCGTATTGTCCTTCAATTCCAAGTTTCTTAGGGTTCACAGACCGATATTCACCGTTGTCAGCCATCATTCTGATTCTGAGCGCAACTTCTTCACCACTTTTTCTACAACCAATCAGTGTAGAAACGCCTAGATCCAGTTCCAGGCATATTGCAAATAGGTTAGCCCATGATTTGGCCACACCATACTCTTCCATCACCCACATGTGAACGTGAACAAGGCAACCACAACCAACACTTTCTCTCCACTCCCGAGAGCTTTCATAATATGCAAGGGACTCTCTGTACCCATGAAATGTCCTTGAGCAAGATGGGAAATTGTTTGTGCTGAAGCTTCTGGTGGTATGGCTATCTTGCCGAATACTTCATCGGACATATCAAATGACAGAAAGGAAACGTTCCAGGTGTGCACTCTGGTTTGAATCCAATGCAGAGATTTTCATTATGCTACATGGAAGCAATACAGCAATTTAGAATGCCAAAAGTGCTTTAGGGCTTGTTTGGGAGTGCTTCTGGAAAGGTCAAAAGCGTTTTCTGATAATTAAAAGCGCTTCTAACAGCGTTTAACAGAAAAGTTTAGAAGTACTTCTGGGTCATAAAAGCGCTTCTTGGAGAAGCACTTGCTGTGTGCTTCTTCAGGAAGCACTCCCAAGTGCTTTTCCACGAAGCACTTTAATTTTTTATGAAAATTCAAGATTTTTATAATAAAAGTACTTTTGTTAGACGTGCTTATGAGCATAAGTACTTCTTAGAAAAGCAGTCTCAAACGAGCCCTTAGCATAGACTATATATGTTATTGGTAGAGCTTTGGGCCAAATGTTTGGACTAAGAAGAGAATTGGGCCTGCGATTAGATCAAGTCACAAAACCTTAGAAGACGAAATCACGAGGAAATCAAAAAAATTTACGAACCTTAAATATCTTGGCAAGATCAAGCCCTAACGGAAGTGAGGAGAATTTAATAGAAATTAAGAAGTGTCTTTGAATTGTTTGAAATTGAATATCACACAGTGATAAAAGTAACGAAATTAAAACCACATGGATCTCAATGATAAAAGTTGGAAACCATAGAAACTATAAGTGAGTCATGATTTTTTGCCAAGAAAGAAACTTGGAAGGTATAAAGAGACTATTAAACCTTTTACTTGGCCAACTATTTTTACAAAAACGAATTAATACGAAAGGAAAAATGGTTCGCTTCACTAATACCCCGAATATTTGTTTCTTTTGTAATTTGAATCCCGAAACTATTTAACATCTGCTTTTTTTTTTTTCTCCCATTCCTTCTATTCTAACCAAATTATCATGGATCCAATCCAAAGGCTATTAAAGCAAACCCCCGCAAATAAGCCCCGAACCTTACCTTCATATATAATCGTTTTTCCAGAAGTAGTTGTCTTAGCCAAAAGAAAAGGCCGCGAAGAAAGATGAAATCTTACAATCATTTCCATCTTCAAATTGCCTCGCATAACTGGGTTGATGACTGCCAGTCATTCATACCCATATAAACTTCAAGGGGTAAGTTCACTTCTTTCTATTTTACCTACACAATACTTTCTTTTCCCAATCAACCATATTTTGTTTTCCATTGTAATTGAATAAGTCCCATGCTTTGTTTTCTTGTCTCTGAATGGGAATGCGGGGATGATTTGAGTGGAAGAACTCTTACATTGGGGATTTTCTACAGTCCCACTGAGCCCTCTGTTCCTTTCTTTACAAGCTCAAGAATAAATTTCGTCTCTCTGCTCATTTTTCCTGATAGTAAGAACACCCAATTCCTCTATCTATTCAATGAAACACAACAAATATAATGGCAAGCAATTAAGCAGATTGTGTTTGAAAATGTATGTTGAATGGTGTAATGTTTTTTATGGAATGCTCCTCTCAATTTTGTTCGTTGTTTCCAAGCGTTCCTGTTTGGGTTTCATCCTACAAAACATAAGAAAGGGTGTTTTAGGGTTCTCCGGTTTTTGCTTTTGCATTTTTGTTCTTTTTTTTTTCCCCACTTTTTCTGCAAAATCAACAGAAAGTTAACAACTTTTCAGTTCTTCATTTTTTAAGATGTCAGTAATTTTGATTCTCTGAATATTTTTTTGCTTATTTTACTTTAAAAGTACCATGTAAAGGCTTTGGTTCTTAATTTTCTTGTAATCTGTACTTCTGGGCTTTGGTTCATATGAGTTTTGGGTGGAATTTGTTCAATTGGCTACTCATTTTAACGTTACTGTAAATTTTAATCCCTTTACAACTTACAAATCTCATAGATATCTCATGCACTACAATTTCAAGAATAAATGGGCTTCCTTTTAGTTGTAATGTCTTTGAATCCTTTCAATAACAGTGCTTTGGAAGATTTGAAGTAGCGCTAAGAACTGATAATTGGAAAAGCACAGAGATATAGCAATGACTAAAACGTTTCTTCACCTTTGGTAATTGAAAGAGCTTATTATTATCGCAAGTAAGTGATGTTCTATGCCAGATTTTGTTAGAAGTTTTTAATTGGCAAGATCTTCTGCTATACGACTATTAAGTATGGACTGCACGGTTATCTGGCATTTCATTCTCTTGGGTTTCATATGTCACACCCAATACTTTATTAATTTTGTTGGGCCAATCAGTGGCCTAATTGTGTTTGTCCTTATATCACAGAAATTATGATTTTGCTTCAAGTTTGAATGTAACTTAGATTACTAGAAGGGCTAAATTGTACAATGTTTCTGGTATACAAGTCATTGTAGAATTAGAGTAATTATCTTTCTTTAGATTGGCACTATAGTGAAAACTGAATTGCTACAAACCCAAAGCACAGTTTCTATGAAAGCCCACAATGAAAATAATCACGAAAAATATCCAAATTAAGAACACTCCAAATCTTGATAACTTTATTTTTCGTTTAGTTTCTGAGTGTTACTGTCGAATGATTCAATTGTTTTCTTATCTGTGGATCTCATTTCAATACGGTGGAAATTAATAATCGGATTATCTGACTTCTGCTTTGAGTGCATTGGAGCTTTGATAATGTTTTGAATATTTGTCTTTGGCCGCAGTTAATGCTGTTATTTGTGAAATAGGGCATGTAAGAATGCTAAAGCGCAATGTCCAAGACTATTTCTCAATGAGTCAATGAGTACCTGTAATGTGGTCCTTCCTCCACAGAATCAGCCCCACAACAAAAAAACCCAAAATCCCTCATTTTGTATCTGGTTTCTTATCTTTTCTTCACACACATATTGCCCCCTTCCCCAAGTGGGATGAGATACATAGTATAAATTATATCATTTTGATCTTTAAAGTCTCCCTCAGCCCTAGAAATCCTATGCAGAGGAGGAAGATTAACTTTTTGGCATCATCATGTATTTTGTTTTTGGGTCTGGTTATTAGTTTGTATTTATTCCCTTATCTTAGTCTTACTGATTGACCAAAACAAATTAAAGAAATGTTATTGGTGCTGAAAATTTCTCTTTTTCTTGCAGGAAATTTTGTTCATTACTGCCTAAGAATATGAGAATGGCAGCTGCGGCCACTTCAAGGGCTTTTCTCTTCTCCCATCACTACCATAGCCTCCCATTCTTCTTTCCTTCTTTCCTTACTGCATCTAGGTTACCCACCCTTCACCGTAATAACTTGAGGAACCCAATCCTTCTCTCTACCGTCAAGTGTTTGCAGTCCTCATCTGGGCGTCAAAATGTGGTTGAAATTCTTGAAGAGAGGGGGCTGCTTGAATCTCTAACCAGTGAGCATCTAAGGCAAGCCTGCTCAGACCCCAGTCTCCCTCCTCTCAAAGTCTATTGTGGGTTTGACCCAACTGCTGAATCCTTGCACTTAGGTAACCTTCTTGGAATTATTGTTCTCTCATGGTTCCAAAGATGTGGCCATCATCCCGTCGCTTTGATCGGTGGTGCCACAGCCCGTATCGGAGACCCTTCCGGAAAGAGCTTGGAGAGGCCTGAGCTTGACCTGGACACTCTGTCTCTAAACACTTCAGGAGTTTCTAATAACATTACAAGAATTTTGGGTGGGATTTCCATCGTGAACAATTATGAGTGGTGGAAAGAGGTTCGGTTGTTAGAATTTCTGAAAGATGTGGGTCGATATGCAAGAGTGGGAAGCATGATCGCGAAGGAGAGTGTGAAAAAGAGGTTGGAATCAGAACAAGGAATGAGCTACACTGAGTTCACGTATCAGTTGTTGCAGGGCTATGATTTTCTCTACCTTTTCCAGAACGAAGGCATTAATGTTCAGATTGGGGGTAGCGATCAATGGGGAAATATAACAGCAGGGACTGAACTCATACGCAAGATTCTTCATGTTGATGCTGCTGCTTATGGCTTGACATTCCCTCTTCTGTTAAAGAGTGATGGAACCAAATTTGGCAAGTCCGAAGATGGTGCCGTTTGGCTTTCTCCATCCATGTTGTCTCCTTACAAATTCTATCAGTATTTGTTCTCTGTTCCAGATGCTGATGTGGTCAGGTTCCTCAAGATTCTCACTTTCATGGACATGGATGAGATCAAACAGTTGGAGAATGAGATGAAGGGGCCTGGATACTTGCCCAACACAGCTCAGCGCAGGCTTGCTCAGGAGGTCACCCGTTTTGTACATGGTCAAGATGGTCTTGATGAGGCCCTCAAAGCAACTGAGGCATTAAGGCCTGGTGCGGACACTAAATTGGACTGGAAAACCATTCAAGCTATTTCTGAGGATGTGCCATCCTGTTCTTTCCCTTATAATCAGGTCCTGGATCTCTCTCTTGTTGATCTTTCAGTGTCGTCTGGTTTGCTTGACAGCAAATCTGCTGCCCGGCGTCTGTTGAAGCAAGGGGGGCTTTACTTGAACAACTCAAGAGTTGATAATGAAAATAAGAGAGTTGAACCTCAAGACATTGTGGATGGGAAACTTCTCCTTTTATCCGCGGGCAAGAAAAACAAGGTTCTTGTACAGATATTAAACGACACCTGAGGTGCCTGGCTGATGATGGTATGTCTCATGTCTCGTAGATGTTTTAACTTTCTACAGCTAATATCTTCACAGATACAAATGTTCAACATTTTTATTGTGCCATTGAGAACCACCTGATATCACGTAGTTACCTTAGCATTGACTTGCCTATGTTTTAAGCTTATAGATTTGATTTACTGTACTGTAGTTGATGAATTGCATAACTTTTGGAACCCAATCTATTCTAAATATAAATAGAAATTTGGAGTTGGAGTAGTGTTTAAAACTGCTCATGCATAAAGTATTATCAGGGCTTTTTTCTTTTTACCTCTTTTTTCACAAGTGTAGCAGTTAGAATAGATACGTGTAGTTAGTTAATTTCTGGGGCCTTCTATGTTTTATGGGTTTCCCTATCTATGTTTGAAGGGTAGTGGTGGCTGTCTTCTTGGTCTTGATATACTTGTTTTACCTTGTCCCTGGATAACCACCAATTGAGGTATCGAAGTTACTAAGTTTGTATATTAGATGTTGGTGCCAAGCGTTTTCTCTTCTATTATGCTATTTTGTTCTTGCTGTGACTAGTGATTCAACTTCTTAACGTTTTTCTGCTGTTTCAAAAATAAAAAAGTCATTAACTTTCAAATTGGGTCCATAACCTAATGATCTTTTAGACTAATCTTTTTCCACTGAATTTTCATTTCAATTTTGTTTTTGAAATAATCTGTTCCAAGTTAAATTTTTTGTACTGTTATTGTTCATATTTGAAGCATTTGTCATTCATTTGTTACTTGAATGACCATCTTAACGCTTTCACCATGTTGCTGGGAAGTTGCTTTCAAGCTCATAATGCATTTTTGAAAACAAGTTGTTTTCTAATAACTGTCTATAACTTACTTCGCGCTCTCTCTCTCTCTCTCTCTCATGCTTTTTAGTGGGACCATAGAACAAAATATTGGGGAAAAAAAAAAAAATCAGATTCCTTTACCTCTGTACTTGCATTCCTTCAGTGATTAATTTGGCATTACCTTTTGGGTTATCATTGTTGGTATAGTGTGATGTTGAATCATTTTGGTTTGGACAACCCGTGTTTATGTTGACTGTAAATTATTGACAATAGGTTTTAGTGCAATATCGATGTTAATATGAATGTTGGGGCTGAGGAATAACATTTCGAAGTCAGTGTATTTGTTATATTAGGAACTCTGCCTTGGTGTAAGTTGTTATTTACATCAAGTGACAACAGTGTTGAGCAACTTGGGATTGTTTTTGTCATCACATTTAAGTGAGTCTAACAAGTCCGTTTGATTAGTTCCACTGATATTGCCTTCACGTTGTATTGTGTGACCAAACTATGGTTAACTTTTCTGCATAAGAAAAAGTTGGAAAATATGTGAAGATTTTTCTTGGTCAAATTTGTCGGTGTCTCCTATCCTATACACCCTTTTTGCAGTCACCTCTTCATTCTGACTTGCTGTTTTGCCATATAGCATGATGCGAGCTAGTCTCATGCTATTACATTTTCAATTTCCTTTGTATGTTGTTCTGTATGACCTTGTTTAGAATACTAAACATATACTGATGATGACTCTTATGTCTTTGAAATGCAGCCGATATTAGGTGTGATCTGTGCACTCTTCCAAGCGGACTGTATTCCAGTAGGTAACTAGCTTTTTATGATGTGAATCTGGTGGAAGTTAGAGTTTGAGAATTTGGACCTTAAAAGCATCCTCTTTAAAGATGCCATTTTTCATAGTGATTCTTGAAAGCTAGTGCTTCAGGTTTGAGGCTTAAATGCAAATGTTTCCCTCGGTTATATTGATAAGTTTTCGTTTGGTCATTGATTTGATTTGACGACAGATCCCTAGCTATTGTAACCCTCCTGTATATTGTTGGGCTTTACTGCTCTGCCGGCTTCCCTAGGCATAGAGATGGGGATTTTTTTCCCCGGCTAAGCTATGGCAGAGATAAATCAGTTAGCAGCGGAGATCTTGTCTTTCCTAAATCTAAATTAGTCTGATGAGGATATGGATGTATGGTACTTATATGGTCTGATTGGTCTCACGAGAAATTGACTTGAGGGCAGTAAAGAATTGATGGTCACCATATTTTTAGTTTTATTCTAAACTCAGCACTTGAATAATGTGTTTACAACCCGACAAGAATCAGTAACTTATCCCTTGAGTTTATTATTTTAATGGTCATTTTGACCTTAAAAATTAACGTGCATCATCAGATCTCTTCACTATCTGAACTTTAACAAGAATAAAAGAAAAGGAAAAACTTACAAACGTAGAGGTGCTTTAGATTGAAGTGCCTCCACTTCTCAGGTTGGTGTGCTCACCGTGCTGACAAAGCATATGAGAATTGAAATACGCTAGTTGCTGGGGGTTGGAGTCTCTTGGCTTCAAAGAATTAAAGACCTTGTGTGCTTGAATCTTGCTATTCTTTTTTTAATACAAGCGAGGGGGTTTCTCACACACGTACCAACTAAAGTGTCGTGAGAATTCAAATTGGCTCTTTTTCAAAAGGTTAGATCCAGCTGGCAGCCTAGTGGAAAAGGCCCCTGTTGTGAGCTTTTGGGCTCGTTTGTGACTGATTCTAGATAGGCCTGAATCACTTTTGGGGAGAAGCATTTTCCACGTGCTTCTCCGTATAATCACTTTAAGTGATTATAGGGAGAAGCACCTCTCGTCTGCTTCTTCATAAAATCACTTAAAACCACCTAAAGTGATTATATGGAGAAGTGATTCTCTATAAAAGTGATTTTTGGCATATCTAGAATCACTCCCAAATGAGCCCTTAATATGTTTGCAACGACAAAAACCGATCCTTGCAATTAAAACTTCAAAGGAAATATTCCCTGTGCATTGGCGTTTTATCAAGGTTTTGGTGGAGTATGTTGGACGGTAGGAAAGAAAGGGTAGTGAAATGACCAGAAAAAAAATCTGGGAGTTTCTTCGTTCCCAAGACCTTCCACTACGCATGTCAACTTGTCAAGGAAGAAATCAGGAGCCCTATCTGGTAACGAGAGGTATCAATAGATGCAACTTTTGTTGCAAAGAAGCAGAGAGCATCACGCAATGGTTCCTTTTTTAATTGCAACTAAATCACATGCAAGATTGAAGCAATAGAAGATATGTGAGATTTTGGTTGGTATAGTCAAAATTGCCTCCAAAGTTACCGAGACGTCTTTACTGAAAACTATGAAGTCAAGATATTTACTTAATCCTACCCGGGTTTTTGATATTTTACTCTTTTTTTTATGGTCCAACTCATTCAATCATCACACAACCCTTTCCAAATACTATAAAAGAAATGCTGAATCAGAATAAACAGAGCACCTTAAATTCAGTCTAGAACATATTCACATCTCGTTTTATTACATAAAAGAATCAATATCCATACCTTACATCTGCACATCTACATACATCTACAACTAGCTTTTAACACTGCCTTTCCACACAACACACACTACTATATACATGTGTATTTTATTTTTTCTGTACGACCAAGTGATTTTTAACAAACCCACTTCATCACATGTTATCAGTCAGATGTATATACCAGGGACCATGAACACTAACTGATATGGTGGCTGCCACCACTAAAACTTCAGCAGCTTCCACTACGCTGTCAGTCAGTGCAGCAGCTCCAACTTGCCGGAGTGCTGTTTCTGCTAATTTTCTTCCAACTGGTCCACTACCCCCAAGAACCACTCCTCTTGCACCCATATAAACAGCACGGGAAACCCTTTCAAACACAGGATCTCCTGCTTGCAAGCTCTTAGCTAACATCCTGCCAATAACTGCCTTCCTTGACCGAAGCTTCTCAGTGTCCACAACTTCCTTGCTGTCATTCGCAAAATCACTAATTGATTCAACAATTTCTTCCATACCTGCATCTTCAACACTGTCCAAGACCCCCAAAAGTCGCTCAATGCATTTTGATACTATGCTCTCGATGTCTGAAGGGCTGGTTATAACCCTCTCACTTAACAGGGTTTGCCGGCAAATAAGAATGCTGCATTTTGAATGATTTACTAAGAATTAGAAAGCTGTGACATAGTCAAGCCAACCAATGTTTGGGAAAAAAAAGGACAATTAATTTGAATCATTTAGAAACATTACTTTTATGCACACACAATCCACTAAATCCAAGGATACCATCAGTTATCATTGGCAGAAGAGTTACCACTGAATATAATGTCACTCCAGTAGTGATACTTTCATCCACTATTTCTCAGTAACATGAAAGATACCATCAGATACCTTGGCAGAACAGTTTTTCTTAAAATTATTCTATATTATTTTCTACTTTGCCCAACAGGGAATTCCAAGATTTTCATGAGAGAGAGAGAGAGAGAGAGAGAGAGAGAACTCTTAAGTTACTCACCTTACAGAAGTAACAATAATTTTCTGAATTTGAGCCTGAACAGCCCTCAGCCTAGACAGGTTAAGCTTGAAAGTCTCAGGCAAAGCCTCTTCTGTCAGACCAGACACACCACTTACCAACTTCAATAAACCAAGCCTCACCAACAAATCAACTCTCTCTCCCTTACATTCCGGTTGTTGATTACCTGATACGAGCAAAACACATGTTAAAATAAATTATTTGTAAATTGCAATTACAAACTTCTTGAAAGAAATAATTACTAAGAAATTCCAGCACTCGAACCTGTGATATCTGTAGCAGATGTAGAAATAGAATCCTGATTTGGTTTCACCAGAAAGCTTCCACCACTTCTCAGGGCGGTGGAAGGAACAAACCCCTGAGATGGGCCACCACTGCTCATCAAAGTTGAGCACAAGATTGTATGTTCTTGCCACTCCTGATCTTTGCAATTCCACACAGATGAAAGCCACTGCACCGTCAGCGGTAGAGAATTATTGGCATCAGAGGGAGACCCATGGTGATTGGCAAAAGCATTTCTAAGGTATTGCACACCAGTAGGCCCCTTTAACAAAGGTTCCATAATTCTTATACGTGCTTTGCTAATCTCCTGTTTAAGCACCTGTCACAAAAATCCAACATTACATGATATTTGGTGGAACTTTGGTACTTCAAATTACATTATGTATGGAAATCAAATCCACTGAACCATGTTGTCTATAGAAATATAATGGGAAATATTTAAAATAATATATTTTGCAATTTGAAAGATGAACCACCAAAATGTTTACTGTAGAATTGAATTATCTAATCTATTTTCAATTCTCATGCAATAATCCACAATTACTATTACAAACAAACAATACCAATAATTTGATTAAATAAAATATGTGAATCATCATGCCAGAAGGCATTGCGACTAACCCTCCTAAAACTCGTCGTCGGTTTCAGTAGGTTTGTTTCTATCAGAAAACGAACAAAAACATAAGTAATTTCAGATGTACAACAAAAACTAGAAAAGAGAGAAGGCATGAAAACACACCTGAATCTGCTCTAGGATAAAACGCAGACCCTTGATCATTGCCGTGACACTTGAGAAGTTGGACTCATCCCTGGTTTGACATATCTCATCCAGCTCTTTCCTTAAACTCTGGTGTATGGCCATCATTTCATCATCATTTGCTGGAGCAGAGAGCCTTCGCAAAGTGACCAATGAAAACTCCAGGATCTTTCCCAGGTAATCAATGTCCAGGTTACCAGATTTTAGCACCTAAGAAAAAAGAAATGAAAGTTAGTACTCCAGACATGCTTGCTAAGTTGCTGTTGGCAAAGACAATCGATGGTGCTGCTACCTCTGACAGAATATCCACATCAATAGCTTCAATAATCTCTTGTTTCCAGCTCTGTGGAGCCATCTCGCAGATTTCATCCCTCACCTCCCTCATGAGTTGAATAATCCTGTCATAGTTGGGCTCCTCCTGTTTTACAGATTCAATTATGCCATCCCAAAAAGCCTTCTCCATTGTCTGTCTTATTTTTGACTGGAAAATATAAAATAAACAAAAGGGACAAGTGGTTAAATTTCTAATTCATCATAAGCAAGTAGGTGTAAAGCAACAAACTAAATTTTCTTTTCAAAATCTCTAGTTTGGTCAAGAACTCATATTTGTGCATCAATAGCATAAATAGATGAAAAAAGCATTACTCATCAATTTGTCAACATCCAAAGCAATAAGATCTACGTCTATCACAAAGCCACCAATACTATTTACTAATATGAAAATGCACTGACCTGGACATCGTTTTTATCTTTGCCAGTAACATTGAAGATATCAGAAAAAGCCTGCTTCTGCTCATGGAGAAACTCATTCACGATCAATTCATTCTCTGTCAACAAATTTTGGGAAGAAGATCCAAGCTGCAGACCCAAATTGGGTTTTGGAACAGAGGACAGAGCTCCCTCATGATGAGTGGTATCAGCTTCCCTAAATAAGGAACGAACTACACGACTTGGCTTCTTATCTGAGCTAGCAGCAGAAAGACCAAGTGTTTGACTAGGTGAGCTCGGAGAAATAATGTGTGTGGTCTTCAACACTGACGGGCTTCCAGTTTCCTTTGCTTGAAAGTAATGTACCCTTGTTTCAGATAAAGCAGAATTCATGCGCTCAAGCCCAGCATCACCACTTAGGTGGTGCACTTTTTCCCTCAGTAGCTTTTGGTCTTCTGTAACCTATGGCAAGAGAAGATTCAAAATGTCAGCCAATAAGTAAAATGAAAACACTGCTAAATTTTCAGAAGGAAAAAAAGTTGAACAATTCCCCCCATGCATAAAGCAAACAGTAGTAAAGAAATCTTTACTAATGGTGGACCAAACCTAGTCTTCAATAAATGTAAATTTTTTTTTTAACGAGAAGAAAGAGAAAAAAATCGACATAGGACAAAAGTACTGTACCAAAATATAGAGTTAGCATAGTACCTGTTTCTGAATAGCCTTCATATCATGAGTAAGATTACCAGTCTCTCCTTCCGGGGTCATCTTGCAAGTTTGAATCATAGAGAGCTCTAAATGGCACGCTGCTCTCACCAAATCCTCCACCAACAACTGAGCATCCTTAACCTTCCACACCACAAAGCAATTCAAGTA